GGGCTGCAACAAACACTGCATTGCAGACTTAGGGGAGAAACAGCACTGAAAAGGGCAGTCTCAATAGATCCAGGAGGAAGCTCAGCCAGCCCAGCCATAATAGATGCTTCCAGCCTTTTAAATCCCGCAGAAGAATGGGTTGCACGCACCTCTGTCTTCTAAGGGGAAGTTCAAGTGCATCAGCAACAGCTCCCTGGCCTCTTCTGAGAGGGCAGCCTGAGTGTGATGATTGTAGGAGGAGAAAAGGCTGAAAAGCCTGTCACAGAATAGGGTAAAGTTCAATATTGCAGTCCCTCATCTCAGCCTTACACAGTGAAGGCTACACGAGAGAACAGCATAGAAGCCATAGGGTCTATGTCCAGAAGGATGTGCAGTAAAGCCTCACAGCCCTGTACTACACATAGAACAGAAAGGGGCATCATCTAAGACTGTAGAGGAAAGCAATAACATTCCCCATAACATAGTCCTTCAACTCACATTCTCTGCTCTAATGTTCACTCCATAAAACAGGGAACATAGTAATAAAACTAACAGCAATCTACAAACTGGGCTCTGAAGTATCTTTAACTTCCTCCTAACTTGATAGCTGTGATTAAATGGGTAGAAGGTCAAATAAAATGCTGAAGGTTAAGCAAAAAATCTCCTCCATTAGAGTCAAACAGAATTCTAAGACTTGGAAAATACAGACTATAACCCAGAACAAAAGCAATGAATAAAAAGCAGGAAAATGTAAATGAGACCAGGAAAGCAGGGGGGCGACAGCACAGTACCTAAAGATGCAGGGTGGAGTCAGTATTGTCACTATTAACTGTGACTTTATGGTTTATTAATTCACATATTCAGTTTGAGAATTAGAAATGAGGAATGTGAAATATCTGGTATGGAGCAGACACTATTGAAATGGTACCAATCACTACAGTCAGCAGTGCTGTGAAATAAATTTGAATTTGCTCATATTTTCTAAAAAGGGATACAGTGACTGTTTTTCTAATTCATTGTCCAACTTAATCTAACTTAATTGCTTTAAAATTATTTTATATAATCTCTAGTGACACTAAATCTTAGTATCTTCTAATAATTTTAATCCCCTGATGTTGTTTAGACTTCTAACCCTTCATGAATTCAAGCGAAATTGCTTGTAGAAACTTCAGTCCACTCACAAGAAGATAAAATACCATATAATATATTCACAAGCACGAACTCCAAAGTGCCTATCAGTTTGCCCATTTATTCGAATTTTAGCACTGGAGATATAAAAAAGAAAACTAAAGTCTAAAATATTGGATCAATGCAAAACCTAGACAAAACCTGGGAATTAAATCTATGTTCTCATCTTGCAAGTCAAAATTTGGCTTGAGTTTAAAAAGTGTTTGGGGATTATATATACAGGTCACCTGGATACCAGTTAAATCTATATGTTTTTCCATAATCATATTTCAGAAGCTGAATTCTATGCTTTAAACAATAAAAGATGTTTTTGATTCAATTAAATTAATATAGGAAATATGTTATTTCAATCCTACAGACCTGGGTGTATGAGAATGTAGAAAGCACCATATTAATTGCACCAATCCCAAAGGTTCCTGTAACAGACTATAAAAAAATGACTAGTTAAAAAAAAAGACTATTCATTAAGCTCTATATGCAGTGTCTACAGATTACTGACTTTTAATGCCTCCCAAATGCTTGAAATGTGAAAAATGGCTTCCAAATATGAATGCTATTTTGGGGACTGGATGCTTTAATTTTAAAATTTCCAAAGTTACATTGTTGAGAAATGATATCCAATCATGTTACTTTGGGCAAATAATGTAAAATGAAAAAAATTAAACACTATAATACATTTACAATAAAAATTGCTTCAAGTGGTTTGTTGGTGTGTGGTTTCATTTCATGCTACTGACTTCCTAAAATGTTTGAAAGCAACCAGACTATCTCTTAGCTACTAGGGGCCAACTATCTTTGTATTCAGGACCATAAGTGTGCTTACTACACAGTGGTCCCTGAATAATCACTGAGTAGATGATAAGAGCAGTCTCTACTCCTTTTCTAACACTTCAACAGAAATGCTGGTTTTCCAACTCATTGTCTTCAGATTTCATAGTAACTCATGTTACCTCACTGTGCTTCTGAGCAGAAATCCTGATGCTCAATACCAGAACTTACAATTAGTTTATAAAGTTGTCTTAAAAGTTTTGAAATAATGCATTCCTCTCACCTCTTTTTTAAAAAGTTAAGAAACATCAACGATAAACAATGGGAAAATATTTAAATTTCATTAATTTTGAATATATGAACGACACACTCAGAAAATCTTTGATAATAAAATAAAAGGCAGATGAATTTCAAAATTATACAAGTTATGTAACATATATATGCTTCAATTGCAAAACTATGAAACACCTCCATAAACTTTTTCAAATAACACATAAAAACATACGTGTCTCATTTATACACAAACACATACACTCTAAAAGAGAGCCCATGAACAATAATACCCAGACATACACAAACATACATTCTCAAGAATTTACAGTGAGAAGGGCATCAGTAAAAGTCCTACTTCTGTTTACTAGACTAAATCTAATTTTAAAAAGTACTGTGTCTCAAGTAAATTTTTAAACTTAATGCAGTAATAATTAAAGTTCCAACAGGAACACTTTTTAAATTTGGCATACTAATTATAAAATATAAAATTTAAAAAATAAGCATTCAAGTCAGGTAACAATTTTAATATAATAATGCAATGTAATAATATCAACACTGAGTCACATGGTTTATATATTCAGAAAACAAATGGAAATGAGATTTTAGATGTGAATCCAAAATATAAGAATGAAATATAAGGGGAGTATGAGTTATTGTTCAATAAAAGACATAGGAAAACTAAATATCAACAAGTAAAATTCAATATAGAGTCATATTTGTAATTTAACCAAAAATTAATTCTAAAAGATAAATTATAGGAAAAATAGCTTTGCAAAGTTTTATGAATTTAATATTTTAAAACTATACACCATACTTGTACACTTACATACAAATCAAGACAGCAAAGAAGCTGAAGATTGAGAACACTTTCATGGTAAATGTAACTAATAAAATATTAATATATAGAACATCTAAGAAATATACTGAAGCAATACTAGTCTTCACAGACAAAGAAAAAGAAATCCAGTATTTAAAAGTTATAAACCAAAACCCAAACCAACTTACTACCAATCATAAAAAAATCAAATAAAAACAATCACTAACAAAGTGATGGAGAATCATATATAATTATATGATTACAGACTTTTGAATAGTAGAGTATTATAACAAAAGTTCTATTAATTTAGTTTGTTCTAATAATTATATCTTTTACGATATAACATAAATAACTAAAAAGTATATTTTACAAAGACAATACTTTTTATCAAAAATGGGTAAAGATGTTCAATTATGTAAAACTTTTAGTCAGAAGAGGATGAATTAATAAAACAAAAATGTTGTGCTTATCAATTCCTTTCTTCTTTACCAATATAAGTGTGATATAAAAATCTACACTGCGTATAAAGACCCAAAGGGAAGACATACTCTCTGATTTATTCCACTATTCATGCCAAGCATCACATTGCTGAGTCCACAAGTTGTGAACATCACAGGACTGATTTTCTAACTCCACAGGACACATAGTCTATTAAATATTAATGACAGTTATATGGAGATTAGGGTAAGGTATCACAAATGTCCTATGAAGAAAAGTTAAAACACCATGTATCAGTTTTAATAACCTATTTATCTTTCCACCAAAAATAAATATTGCAATTTAGATGGCTATGACAAACTATCTGGACATAGCCAGGTGGAAATGATGGTTTCTTAGACATAAGTGTTTCATAGTTTTGGCAAAACAGAAAAAACATTTTTGAGATAACATGCTTTTCTGACAATTCCTGTGAACTGTCATCCGTCTTAGGCTATCTTTATTTTAGCATTAGCCTTATTTATGTGAAGTAGTATCTCATCTTGAATAAAAATATTTTTTTAATTGTGGCTTCAAATTTCCTAACACTGAAGTATTTTACTCATTTCTCCAAACTCCTCTAGATGATTAGGCCATAATATAAAGGGGGAATTTAAAGGTGATATAAGGGACTGGAGATGTTGCTCAGTGGTCAAGAGCACTGGCTGCTCTGGCAGAAGACCTGGGTTTGATTTGCAGCAGCCACATGGAGGCTAACAACCTTTCATAACTCCAGTTCCAAGGGATCTGATGCCCTCTTCTGACCACCATGGGCACTGAAGGACATGGATGCACCTACCTACATGTAGACCACACACGCATACACATAAAATAAAAATAATAAATATTTTAAAGTAATATAATTAAAGCTGATTTGATAAATATATACATAAGTATAAAGATATAAATATATAATATGTCATATATAATATGGATAAATGTATAATGAATGTTTTAGTTGTTCTAGTCTCACTTTTGGAATGTTCATCAAACTCCTCAGTGGTACATATTCACATTATTCGACAATGCTGCTATTGTGCTAAGAAAAAATAAATCACTACCTATGGCTTTAAATGAGTCTAATATAATCCTCTGCAAATATAGCTTTAGATCACGTCTTACTATTTGATAAAAATAGTATTAACTGGGGTTGGAAAGATGGCTCAGAGGTTAAGAGCACTGGCTGCTCTTGCTACACATAAAATAAAAATAAATATAAATTTTAAAAATAGCATTCTTTGAAATGATATATTTATGAACCATGAACATTAAAACCCCTTATAAATAAGAAACACTTTCAGTATCATTGCAAATATATTTTAAATAAAAATTATGTAAATTATCTGCATGTTGACACACATATGCACAGCAACTTGACTGAAGAAAAATTACAAACTGAACAAGATACTAACTGAATTTTTGAAGTGAGACGTTAAATCTTAAAGCATATGCAACCATTTTAAAGTTCTGTTGTACCTTAATAAAAACAAACCTTTACCTGTGCAAGCATGGGGAAGCCAAGGTTCCTACATCCGTTACAAGGAGTTAATGCTTCCCAAAGTCCCGTGGGCCCACAGGTGTTTTCATCATCATCTTCTTCTTCCACTTCTCCTGGTGACAAATTTATTGTAGATGAAGTTCTCTGAAATTAAATTTATATTATACCAATATATTATATCAATGTGATTTATATATCATAACATCAATCAAATTACATAAATTACTTGTGGTATGTCTTAGCGAGCAAAAGTCAGCTCATGTCTAGCCACAGTTACCAGGCTGTACCAGGTGACTAGGCCAGAATATGCATAATTAAATCAAACTGGAAGTGAAAAAACTGAGAAGATATAAACTAATGAAGTTCATAATGAAAAACAGGATGTGACAACAACTGGAGAAAATATGTGGCCAGCAATAAAAGGGGAAGAAACCTCATGATTTATCAAGAATTTAAGTTCAATCATAAAACTAAGGGGAGATATAGCAAGAAAAGTGCCATAAGACCACATGAATGAACTAGGAATTCCTGTGAGAAATGTCTCAGTAGGCCACCCAAAGCAAACATCACAAAACCTTGTACATAGGACATGAGGATACTTTTAAAAATTTCAAAACAACTTCTATTCTGATCATACAAATTTATTCTTGCCATTCCTAAAGCCTGTAAAAGTAACCATAACAGATTTATCAAAATACTTAAACCACAAAAACAAGGATAACAGGAGAAATATTCATGGATGAGAAAACTTGTAGACAATGACGGCAATTTGGGCATGAGCTAGAAAGGAATTACCTAACCTTACAAATAGGAACATTTGAAAACAAAGTGCTTGGATGATGGAATACTTAGAGATTAGTACTAGTAAAAATACACATAAGACCTAAAAAGGACAGAGACACATTCTCAGAAAGAGTTAAATCTTCAGATATAGCTTCTCACCCAGCTAGAAAACTAAACTAGAGACAAGAATTCAGAGGTATATTTTCCAGAAGAGTTGAATCAAAGAGATTATGCATTCTAACAATCTATATACACAAAAATCCATATATACATGCAAAAAGATCAAGATCTAAAACCATGAGAGCTGAACTCTATATGCAGTAAATGACAACTCTCAGCCTACCCAGTGCCTTTTCACATTTGTCTTAAAAGCTATGACATCTAGATTATATTTCCTAGGTAGAGGACTGGAATACACTGACCTCTGATATGGTCTGAATAGTTTGTCCCCTCCCAAAACTCAGGTTGGAGTTCAATGTGTACTCTGAAGTATTAAGAAGGTTAAAACTTTTTTTTTTTTTTTTTTTTGTCTTTTTGAGACAGGGTCTCCCTGTAGCCCCAGCTGTCCTGGAACTCACTATGTAGACCAGGCTGGCCTTGAATTCACAGAGATCCGCCTGCCTCTGCCTCCCAAGTGCTGGGATTAATCCACCTCCAGAGTCTGGAGGTGGGGCCTTGGGAGGTAAGTAGACAAGACCTAAGGTGGAGCCCTGAATGCTGGTGGCTCTGTAAGAGAGAGAGAAACTAGCTGGGTGTGGTGGTGCACACCTTTAATCCCAGCACCCGGGAATCAGAGGCAGGCAGATCTCTGTGAGTTCAAGGCCAGCCTGGTCTACATAGTGAGTTCCAGGACAGCTGGGGCTATAGGGAGACCCTGTCTCAAAAAGACAAAGAAAAAAAAAAAGAGAGAGAGAGAGAGAGAGAGAGAAACCAGAGGAGACACAAGGGCATATGCCCTGCCTCTTGCCACGTGATACTTTGTTCTGTCCAGGACCCTGTCAACAAGAAGGCCATCATCAGATACGGCTGCTCCACCTTAAACTACCAGAACTGAGTCAAATTAAACCTCCTTTTAAAAAAGCTTAGCCTGTCTGTGGTACTGAGTAATTAGTAATAAGAAAGGAAATAATACAGTCTTCCTACGAAAAATGATCTACTACAAATAACAAGAAAATAGTAGAGTCAATGTCTTAGTCAGTAGTATAAAGTCTACCTCTCAACAAAGTCAGTAATAAAAACATATCCTAATGTTTCAGCTAAATATAAACAAAGATCATAGCATATTTAAAGAAAGCCACTAGTAGATCAAGCTGGGTTTGTTTTCTTAGTTTCCTCAGTTGAATGATAGATATCCATGAAATAACAGAATGCTACAAAATGCACGCACAGATACATAACTAAATGACTATATAGACATATATACGTGCACATACAGACATACAAATATACATATGCACACTGCAATGGAGGGACTGAAAACAAATCTGAGGAAATTTCCCAGTTGATAGAATAACAAGTGAGAAGTGAGATGCTAAGAAAAGTAGGGAATCAAAAGAGACCCAAAACCTTAAGAGTTCTAAACATTAGAAAGAATATACATGAGAAGATCAAAGAAATGATGCAAGAAGTTTTACGGGAGCTAAAGAAAGCACCCACAACCAAAGATCCTGATGAATGCTCAGCACACTGAATTCTGAAAATGCATGGGTTTAGATAAAATAAATAAACTTGCATAAAGATCTTTATAATGCAGTGTTCAGCACAATACTGAAAGATCATGATCACTAGAGTAAGTAAAGATATTCTGCATATTTGATTGTAAATTTAAAATTAGAATATTGAACTTTTCTTCCTCTTACGAAGAATTTATTTTTCTACATGCACATTTTAACTTTCCCTTCATCAATTGCCAATAACTAGGATATAACACAATCAAATTGTTACAATCATGTTACTATCTCATATGATATTGAAAACTAAGTGGTTTGTTACAACATAGAACCTTTTTTTCTGAATTATTCCTATTCATAAAATGTCTTTGAGGCAAACAAAAATTATTTATTTTCCTTTGCTTTATAAATAAAAAAAAAACTAAAGCACAGAGAAGTCAAGTGAAACCCAGGGTCACAAAATTGGTGGCAGAAAAAGGAGTCTAACACAGACTGCCAGACTGAGACATTTTCTTCCTTAACCACAGACTACAAGACCTCTCATCTGGCATATAAGTCTATAAAAAGCAGTATCTCGAAGAACTAAGCTGATGGAGGTGCACTTTAAATGAAAAGTGTATATTTTTAATGTTTTGCTACATGATGATCTCCCCAGGGAGCATTTTGCCATCTGCAACAGCCAGTGAAATTTTCTGTGATTTGGTACATAGCAACCATAGTTTCATAAATACACATTTCTTACATCAGTAATAAAAGGTGACTATCACGCCAACTCATTTTATCCTGTAGATCTTCTGGATGAAAAACGTCTCAGAAAGTCTAAAACTTTGATCTAAGAGGAACACGTGTATGTGTTTAATTCATTTATCCACAAAAATGAATTAAAAATTATCAAAGGCATCTTCTTCACAAATTGTGATTGGTTAATGGTCTGGCCATCAAAAACAACCCAACATGACACCATAAACTGCCTCATATTTAGCTAAATACTATCAACATTCATATTCATAGATCAACATTTCATTTTGTCAGTTCTTTTCTGATTTTAATGGTTCTGTGATTATTTTACTCAATTATGCAGTGAATTTCCTCTCCCCCCCATCAAAATCTTTTTATATCCCCAGATAGCCTGGAATTTTCTATGTAGGCCAGGATGGATTCAATCTCACAAAGACTGTCTCTGCTTCCCAAGTACTGGGATTTAAAGGCATGAGCTACCATACCTGGCCCCATATGTGTCTTCCCTTTAAAGGGAAAAACATCAAATTTATACATCTTTCCTGTTCGTAAACCTCCAATTATTTTCCACTGTGCAACAAATTATACACAAATTATTTGGTCTGTGTTCAAAATTCTATGGTCCTTCCACCTTTATTTTTTTCCCCAGTACTGGGGGTTGAATCTAAAGTTTCTCAGGTCCAAAGCATGAAGCTATCATCTCTATCCCTCTTTTTTCAGCCTTTTAAATTTTTGTGATAGGGTCTTACTAAACTGCCCAAACTGTCCTTGAACTCAATCTTTATCCCAGAGTGTCCCAGGCAAGCCTTGAACTTGTGACCCTTCTGCTTCAGTCTTCCACCATAGTTGGGATTACAAGTCTGTACGACCACTCCTAGACTTTAGCCTTTTCATCTATTCCATTAGACTCATACCAGACTATAATCAAGTCAAATGCTTACCTTTGCCTAGTCATGCTCCAACTTTTACTCAAGACTTCTATCTTACTTTCCTATACAACACACAGCAGGAGTTAAGAATTTACTTCTAAATTAGATAGCCTTGAATTCAGGTTCCAACTGTCCCACTTACTAAATGTACAATTTACATTTTCAATTTATTTTTATTTTATGTGTATGAGTGTTTTGCCTGCTTGTAAGTTAAGTGAACCATGTGTGTGCAATGCCTGCGAAGGCCAGATGAGAACATCAAATACCCTGGAATTGGAGTTATGGACAGTTGTTAGCTGTTGCATGGGTGCTGGGAACCTAATTTGGGCCCTTTGCAAGAGCAGCCAGTGCTTTTAACTACCGAGCCATCTCTCCAGCCTTTAGATGTACAATTTTCAAAAGATCTGACCACCCTCGCCCATGCTTGCTTTATTTATATGATGAAAATTAACACTTAGCAATTTTTCCTAATAATCAAATGAGGTAATACAGTGCTTGACATGATAAGATTTTAATAAATATTAACTATCATTTTAGTTATTATTTTCTTACAAACAAGTATACATTCAAATATAGCTCAGATTTCACCCCTTATGTAATATTTTCCATATTTTCACAAACAAAAATTTTACCACTCTCTTCTGAATGCTTATAGTTCTTTTAGTGACCATGTGTATTATGGTAGTTCACATATACCTTGAAATAATAGACGACACAGTAGCAAAAAGCACTGGCTTCTTTGAAGTCAAATAACCACACATTTAAGTCCTTGCTTTGCAATTTCCAAGCTAGATGACTTTAAGTAAATTACATGATCTTATCAATCCTCAGTTTACTTATTTGTAAAAGTAGGTATAATACTAATTCCTACTTTGTTGGGCTGTAACAAGAGAAAGTCACATCATCATGACTTGCATATAAAATAATAATTACTGGTATGTTTTGTTTTTATCCTGGAAGAGTTGTAAATGCACACGGTATCCTTGTTCATTCACACATACACACGTGTGGCTTACTTCTGTTT